TCCATATATCAATTGACCAAGTGACCGCCATCGACCCAACAGAAATGGGCCCGGTAAAACGCAAGCTGCAAAACCGACCATACCGTGAGCACGAAAGAACGCGACCACCCTCATGGAGACAACGACCTTCGCTGAAAACTTCAAAGCTTCGTTCGTGGAAGCCGTCAGCCGAAGATATTTCACCCTTTCGCCCGCTAGCGGATAACAACGCACGCCTTCAACCGCTTTCCATCCACAGTCTGAAACAAATATAATTCGTGCATACGCGATACTCGAAATGCTAGCAAACGGTTACCGACGAGGATGGCTTGAACGCACCAACGGGACAGAAGAAACGCATCCGCTTTTACCTACAACAACACGTATGAGCCATTTGAAACAAGCACGCTATTTTGCAGACACCAGATCAATGAGAATGACATGCTGCATTTCAGCTCGGAGTCGTATTCAAGAAAAGACGATGTTGCGCAATTCTGCAAATAACGATGGAAATTTCCGAAAATCGGGCCATCCTGTCATTGGAAGCAGGCACGCGACTCAACCATATAATCACTGAATTGTGAGCACCAACGGCCTTTAAGGCGTATGATGCCATGAACAGACACCGCGCATGGACAAAGAATTGGCCAGGCGATAACGATATCAGAATTCTGAATTCGAAATTATATTACTGTGGCTCTGCAGTTACCACAGTTCGTTAATACGATAATGGAAGCGGTGATATTGGCGGCATTTTTTCTTCAAAGGGGCGGGTCGCTTTCGCCTCTTCATGAGACGGTCGTTGAGCACGGAGACTTTCCTCTAAGACACGAATTTATTGAACTCGAATCCAGCCACACCCTAGTAGTCTCATCTTGCCTACCCTTGATATTTGTCTCAGCTAAACTCGAAATATGGAGGTCGTTCCCTATCCGCAACCTGAGAAAGCGCCATGTGACCAGCAATGTAATCCTAAGCACTCCAATCAGTCAGTGTACACCAAGGATAGAGATGTTCCGGCACCTTTTCCACTACGTCAGTATCAAGGGTCAGAAAATCTTTCACTTTGGTTCTACCGATTTCTAGTATCTTTGTCATCTTAAAATTAATCGAGAGACCCAGACCAGAACGCAAATGTTCCAGAGTTAGGAACGGTGATGTCGCAACTTCAACAGTCATTAACAGTTTAAAACAGATCAATCTAACGCAGTAGTGGTTGCCATAGCAGGTAGAGTGTACACATGTACTCGTTCCGCTTTACTGGTAGTTACGATAGCACCGTTGTACGTCTACTTGCTCAAAAGTAGTAGTAATCAGTAGCAGCAACATTTTAGAACTGAAGGCAGCAGCAGTTAAGTATCGTTTCAAATTCAGAAACAAACGCACTTCTCACAAGTCTCACACAACACTTCCAGGTTTAACCGTTAAACAGCAGCAGCAGCTTTAAGGTTCAACAAAGGCTGTAAGGGTTCTTGTTTCGGGATGATTTTCCGCGCCTAAAGTAGCATGGCACTGTTGTTTCAACACGTTCATCTGTGACGATGGTGAAGAAGTGAAGTTACCAAGTTTCGCGCTTTCGCGCATAACGGAGAGGAAACTCATATCAATGGTATAAAACCGAAGGCATCCAACTAGCAGAACCTGTCATCGTCATCATTCACCAGTTTGCGCCGTTTATCCATATATTTGTACGGAAATGAGGTAGATGTAGCTCAGCGAAGGTAAGCTTTTGACGGCAGACTGTGTGATGTCGCCGAGCAGCGAAGTGGACGCCGGAACAATTGCTTTCAAACACCATGTCAGTTGTCACCTGGCATTCAAACGCACCTCAGTGGTAAAAGTCCATCACTTCAACCCGTGACTCAGCTATCCGACGCCTGCACAAACTAGGAACAGACATGGGGAAAGAACTGAATCCAGGTGCTCATACTGTGCAACACTTGAACGTTCATCTAAACAATCGTCTGACTCGTCTGATTAAGTGGATAGCATGTTCACCGATACCGGTCAGTCACTGAAATTTACTTCATTGAACCCAAGGCATACGATATGTAGCCAAATCCCTGAAGATAACATTGAGCAACTACTAAACAATACTATCAAGGCGGATCCATATTTGACTGGCAGGAGTCCGGTTCAAAATAACTGTTCATCTTCGTTGAGATCGATCA